GTTATTTCCTTTATCATTGTTATTATTGGTGGTAGCAGTAGTGATCTGTGTTATACCTTAGTTACTAAACTGTTCTTATTTCAACCCGTGAGAGTTGCATTCTTTTAGATTCTCCTGTTTGTCCCTCTGGTAGTAGGGGGAGGGAAAGAAGGGGGGGGAGTGAGTGAACGAGTTACCTGACTGGGTTTAAACCATGACAAAAGTCTTCTTGGGTTGTAACTCAGGTAAATCAAGTCAGCAAACCTTTACTGGCTTCAGTCTATTTAGTGCTGGTCCTCTACTGCCTTCCCGCAATGGTCTTTCAGAGCTGTGTAAGAACAGCCAAGTCACTTGTCTAGGAAGGGATGAGCAGCACATGTGAGCTTGCTGCATTGAACAGAGGGATGCAATAAACCCTCTGTGAATCTCACCTGAGGATATGTCTTGTGTGCTCAGCTGTTGTGTCATTTTGGTTTTGCCAAGCAAGAGAAATAATTCAAATGTCGGAATGTAGTTCAGCAATGAGGACCTCAGGGTGTGAAGTCTTCAAGGAGGCTGTTTCTGGCAGGTGGAGAAACAGCAGAAGGTATGCCCATGCTGTCTGTTAGCAACTGGCTGCTGACCCCAGCTCTTCAGCTGGCAATGGGATTATTGCATGAGAGACAGAGTACCCCTCTTTCTTGCTTCCAGCTTCTATTCTTCTTCCCCATTTCTGAGAACCAGTAATGACATGTTAGGCCTGCACTCCCCTACTGGACATGCAAGTTAGGTGTTAGCCCTGAGTTAGCAGTGTACTGGGAGAGGAGGTTGTGGAAAAACATTTCTTGACCATATTCAGCATTAACATGCATCTTACAGAATGGTTTAGGAATGGCAAAAGGAATCTACTTATGATACTGGTATCATAACCAGATGAACTGGATGTAAGTATGCATGAGGCTCATGGCAATAATAGTTGTCATCTTCTTAACTGCAAATGCACGACACTTCTTCCCCTTGAGCTCATCTATGGCAATATCCTTTTGCAACCTTACATGTTGCCTATCTCTGGCCCCCAAGCTGTAAACAGAACAGGCTCGAGTAGTTCATATCCTTACACTGTACATACAGTCTTTCACTATCAGTGGGGGAACATGCTGTTCAGCAACAAGTTCAAAGATCTGCTGCTGGTTTGCCTTTAATCTTCTGGTTTACTTTTGGAATATGCAATTAAAAAAACTGGAAGTGTTTTTCCTGGCTTAGGATCCTTGACATGATGATGTTGTCCATCTTTCTGAACTTTTCCATGGTATTTTACTGCACTGCGGGGTGTGCGTGTGCACCGTTGTAACCCTTTGGTTGCAGGCTGAGGTGCCTGCCTTTTCTGAGTTCTGTCCACAGAACATGGGAACATCCTGTCTTTGTAGCTCTAGGACTTTGTCTTGTAGTTTAAGATGCAGATTTCTGCATCCTCAGTTCAAGGCCCAAAGTCAGCCCATAGGGAAGGAGGATGTCTCTGAGAGGGTGAATGCAATTAAAATGACATTTAGAGACTAGGCATGAGAGGTCTGTTCTAGAAGGAGTAGTAATTATGGATTGTGTGGTTCCTTGCTCTAGTTTGCACAAGCAATTAACTAATTTCAGCACACAATTCTGGCAAATCTGCAGGAGATAACACCAAGAATAAATGTGTGTATCTGTTTTGATTTTGGTTTTTCTTTTCTGGTGGTGTTGTTTTGGTTTTAAAAGTAAAGTCTTCTCAAACTCCTGGTGAGGTGCATCTAGGATTCACTGCTACCCAGAGGGACTAGTAGAGCATCCATCCTCTTTCAGCCCAAACCAATTCTCCTTTACTAGTCAGTTTCACACCCATGGTGGGTGCCTGCCTACTGCAAGAGCACAGCTCACTATAGAGCCGTTTTGCAACTGTGAAGACTCATGTGTCCCTGCATTCGCCACGTCTGGGGGTCTGTCCCTCTGTGATTGCTGCTGGCTCCAGGAGCCTGGCTGGCACTGCAGTCCCATCTTCACGGCTGGCCCGCAGCCCTCCCCATGCCACCGCTGGCTGCTTTATCTTCATCCCTACTAATAGTCACAGCAGTAGCTCTATGTGATGGATGCAGCCTTGTGCGTTTGACCGTGTGAGCAGAGCTGATGAATCATACTTCAAAACATGGATTAAGGACAATTCTTTTTCCCACCTCCAACAGCTGCCGTTCTGTGGTGTTTGTTCTGTAAACCCAGGTAAAAATCTTGTTTGTACTTTTCAAGTTTATATTTACAAAAACGTTGGAAAATAGGCATAATGACAGTTTAATTAATGTATGCCATCAATCCTGGAGGTAATCAAACCCCTGATAAGTCTCTAATCTTGTTCAAAAGAATTAGAAAGCACTGAAATATTTTTTGCTATCTGTGAACCTTGTAATGAGATGTTGCATGCTTGGAGGAGGAGCCATGGAAAGGAACAGTGCCAGAGGACATATTCTCAGCAGATTTCATCACTGGACTTCTTGTGTGATATTGTTCTTGGCAGAAAGGTTGTAACTGGAGTCCAAAGCCATCAACACTGTTTTCGAAATTTGTCCTTCTGCTACCAATGTCTAAAGTTGTTCTGATAATCTGTGGATATAAAGCAGGAAAGCTTTATCTTCTCTACAATTTTCTGTTAAGTATCCTGCATTTAAAGCACTAATTCACTTTTAATGCTTGCAGACCTTACTAGTTTGTCTGTAGTGAATTACGTATATGTGCAAATCATGCCGGTATGCCATACCTATTATTCAAGCATACAAACTGAATATAAGAAATAGTTCAAAGTTGTTTAAAAAAAAATAATGTGGCCAACTTCAGAGAACTATTTTTTGGAAGTTTGGACTAATTTCTGCTTTCAGTGCTGTCTATATCTTTACACTTTCACGTTTTAAGTGCAGTTCATATGCATGTGTAAAGTGCAGTTCATATGCTGTTAGTTTTTACCAAGCAGTGTCAGTGAAACTACTTTGGAGGATGCAGTGGCTAACAGACATTGACAGGAGTTGAAGGAGCTCAAAAAGCAGTGCTCATCCTTTAAAACTTGGATTCAGAGCAAAATGTAACGTACAAAGGCAAAACGTTCTAGTATCTGCTGGTCCTGCAGGGACCTGGGAACCAGCTGAGGCCGGTGGGAAGCATGGTGGGAAGGAACAATAACAAATATTGCTTCTCTTCCTCTCCAGAGACCCAAAGAAAACTGAATTTGTCCTCTGGAAAGGAGGCCGGGGGCATCAGTTTGCTGCTGGGGGACAGTTAAGGCTGGGTGAGAGCTTTTGTCTGGCTCCCGAAAGACTGAATCGATGGAGTACTGGGTTAAATAAAGCTTCAGAGGGCTAAGGGTGAAGTCCTGGCTGGTGAGCAGGCAGGAGGGGGGTGAAGAAAATGGGAATATTTGTGGCAGGGTTGGAAATATTTTGGCTTTATTTTTTCTTTCTTTTCTTTTTGTTGCTTGTTTGCTTGGGGGTTTGGTTTTTTTTTGAGGGTAGGACTATTGCACAGTACAAGAAACACTAAGAAGCACTAAGAAGCCCATCATACTCCAGCTGCAGGCTCGTTAGCAGCTGCATTGCTTAGGTAATGCCCATGCAAGCATGAACATGACACATCCCTTGAGTGCAGGGAAATTTGGGCAAGTGGTGTGGGGAAGGGGGTGCAGATGGGGTGAAGGCCTCAGGGTGCTGCAGGCCCTGGCTATGCTCTGCTGCAGGCAGGAGTGTGGGCTGTCTGGAAGTCATTGCAGCAGCAAAGGGAAATGTGCTCTGCCCCTAGAGATGCTTTCCCAAGGCAGCTGCTGGAGAAGGAGCATCCCAAGGCAGCTCCATTCAGACCTCTCCTACCATACGTGAACCACATTTGGTAGAGTAATACCTGCAGGAGGGTTAACCCCTGACACACTGAGGCTGGGAGTCTTTGAGACTGAAGATGTGCTCAAGACACTGAGGTGGGAAGGCTTGTGTTTGTCCTAGAAGCTCTGCTATTCACTGTCTAGGGGGCGGCTAGACAGATGGCGCAGTGCATTACCCCATGAGACACAAGAAACTGTGGCAATGCCTCTGTAGGCTAAAGGAAGGGATAAGGCCAGCTATCAAACAGCCATGAATATAGGTAAATAAGACTTTTTAATATATCCTTCTCCAGAAAAGAAACTTTTGAAAATAGGAGATGCTTTTGAGTAAAAATAGCAAGCAGAAAGGTCAGGGAGATAAAACAAAGTGAAATTTTTGCACATTTTCCCTGTCTTCAGATAAAGCTGTGTTGGTATACATAAGTACAACAACTCCTGAACTTTGGCTCCTTTATTTATAAAACAATATACTGATCCTGATGCCTGGACACACTGACGTAACTTAATGTCATACTTTCCAAATATAATGGATTGCATTCCCATCATAAAATAAATACATTCCAGCAGTGAGCCCCACAGCAAATAACAGAGCTCCAGCAGCTGAGGAAGCTGGGGTAAGAGGTACAACAATTGGGTTGTGTCACTGAAGCCCAAAAGCAAATTTTTTTCTGGCAGCACTCTAGGAAAACCTATTATAATGCAATGCTACCAAAAAAGTGCCCTTTTCTTTCTAGTTCTGTGCTGCATGCAAAAGCTATTAAAAAAATCCTGTGTAAACAAGCATACTCTTTTCCATATGACCTTTGCTTCAGTGTTTGCAGAAGTATATTGTCTTTTCAGTTTAACACAATATTTGTCAGCTTTTATTTATAGCTTAAAAGAAAAGCCTCCCTCAAACTGTCACCAGAAATGCCCTTCTATAGGCATGCTGTCAGGAGAAAGGCTTTCCTTCTCCGAGTGTCATCCTGGCTCAAATACATTTTACTGTAAGTGCCTCTGGCAATCATTGCATCTTGAATCAGCTGGGCATGTATCACTCTGTCCTGAGAGCCATTTTTAATCTGTTATAGGAAACCGAGGGTCAAATTCAATATATGACCACGGTTTGCTCTCATGCACTCTTTTTTCCTTTTTTAATTTTTATGAAATAAGCAGGCATTAAAACCTTTAAAGAACGTTTTTATTCTTATCCAATGTGTAGGAGGCAAGAACAATATTTGCACCAGTATGATAAATCAGCACATTACCCAGTTACACATGACTCAGAGTGCATTTTTTAACTTAGAAACTGTAAGAAAGTTTGTGCTTCACAAACTGGTTATACTCTGTGGATTTCAAAACTAAAAAACAGAAATATCACATTGCCAGTGAATATTGCTAGTACAAATTCACCAGCATAACATAAGGAGGCAATACCCAGGGAAGATCACAGATTGCAGTAAGTTTGGGATCTCCTTCGTTGAGAGTCAGAGAGATTCCTGCAGCTTCATGGGACATCTTCAAATGTAGCACAGGACTTTATTCCCCATTCTGCTATTCAGTAACTCACTGAGACAGAAAGACAAAGATGTCCAGTTATATAAAACAGTCCTCTGGAAAGTGTATGCATACTTCAGCTTGCCAAACAAAGAAGGCTGGTGCCATGTATTGATCCTTGCAGGAGCTCAGCATTTGGAGTTGTCATGAGTTAACACTTCAGTCAAAGCTGATATTCTTATTAATGGCCACTGCTGAAGTGTATGTACATTTTTTCTTTCATGACTGAATAATATTAACTACAAAAGTGAGGATAAAGCGCTGGGAGCCTGCTTTTGCATGTTTGTATCCTCAGTTTGTGATTGCATTCTTCTGGGCTTTGAGAGCTTCAAATCTCACTCCTTCCCAACCCAAAGGGCATTTTTGTCTCTTGATGGAACAGTCATTAAGCCAGCCTATCAAGTTCGGACTTATCCTTTACATCTTTCTGATGGCTCTTCTCTTCATTCTTTTGTTTGTATTTCATGTGAAAAAACACACCCCCTACAATAAAACCTGAAAAAACAGAAGGCACTTGTCAGTGGAGGGAAAATATATTTTAGCAACGGATCTGACACCCACACTGTAATATCCATACTCCTTTATCTCTTAAACAGAAGCAACAGCTTTGGGGAATGATCATGCAGGGCTGGACCAGCAGTGACCTGAGGCACTTCTTGGCCATGATCATATACCTCAGGTCGCAGGAGACATTCCCCAAAAAAGAGCTTTTCCTCTAGGATCTGAACAGACGGCAAAGTGTCTTTTTTAGCCCTTCTCCCCTTGAGCAGTGATTTGTCATGTTTGTCTTGAATTGTAATCCCTGTTTTTTTTCCCCACTGGAACAGCAATTCTGCTGCAGCAAAGCTGAGGTAGCTGACAGCAAAATTGTTCCTTTGGAAGTCCTTGGTATCTGTTAGGAATAACTGATGGACCCCAGAGATTTATGCACCTATGGCCAAGAATGATTGAAATTTTCTTCTGGCTTGGAATAGAAATATTTATACCCTTTATCATCACTTGCCATATCCAATCTAAGGCATTTAGATGTCTGCAAATGCATATATACATATATATGTGTGTATATACACATCAAATCTGCATATTTAATGTATATATTTCCATTTGGTCTTTTAAATACATTATGACCTTGCTACATTGTATGTAAATTTATTTCCTCTCAGTGTTAGATTACATATCACTTTCAACATCTCGTTGCTCCTTTACTAAAGTCTATAGGAATGCTCAGCTACTCCCTTGCCCCATTCATTCTCTGAATATCTATTCTGTAGCAGTTCACATTTCACATTCATATTTGTGGTATCTGAGTACTTAATCAAGGAACATGCCTAGTATCTGCCATGTGAAATTTATTCTTCTACCCTCTTCTCAGTGGGAGAAACATCTTCCAGGAGAGACACAGTTTGTCTCAATGAAAGGGTTTCTCCCATCAGAAAGGACTGGCTTTGGGTTTGGGGTGTATTCTTTTGTTGTGCTGTATTTTGTTTTCCAGTGTCTATGCTCTGTGTCTCTTTTACAGAAAGTAAGACTGCAAAGGATCCTTGCTTTTGGAACAAAAGATGCTGAGGTCTGAGAGAGTCCTTAGTTCATGCAGGAATTCATTCTGGTGTCAGGCCCCAAGGAGATGGCTGGTTTTATGATTATATCTTCTGAGTTTCAAGGCCAAACTCAATGTTTGTAATTTCCCCAGATTTCATAAAATTTTTAGATTCTTCTCATTTCTAAATTCCTTTATGAGCTACATGCATACACTGTATTTTTAAAAAGTCATAAAGCAGTAACAATTTTTGCAGTGCTCTCTGAAGCTGACCAGATCTCTTGTAATGAAAACATTTCAGTCAGTTATCCAACATAATTCTCACTTAAATGTGACACTAAATTAAGTGAGGGATCAGAATAAGACATTGTGCAGAATTAGATGATGTGAGAAGCTTGAACAGAGATGCTAAAGATGAAGTTTGAGGGGTTTCTCTGTCAATCACATAGTCTGAGTGTGGCTTCTTCTATTTTAAGTTCACTGACTTTTTTTCTCTTTTTCTCTTCAAAAGACACACACATATGCATCACATATGTATTGGCACTTTTTTGCTTTAGGGGGTTGTGTATTACAAAAGAAAATCAACACAGAGCTTTGGTTTTGTCATTTTAGGTACTGAACTTGTTCTCGGAGGCTCATTCTTCTTTTAGAATTGAGCTAATGTTAACTTATATAAGTCATGTTTTTTTCTCTTTTATCCTCTAATTTAATCCGACTCTTTCAAATATGAGGTCTGTAACATATTTAATTCCTTTTCTTTGATTTTTTTCCATGGGTTTTTCATGCTTCCTCCCCTCTCTACAGCTGAGTCATAGTTTCCCAGCCTGGCTCTTGTGACCGTCACATTCAAAAATCACACAGGACTGAGTACTGAATTCTTCTTGATCCTCACTTCCTAGGGAGCTGGATCCCATCCTTATTGACTTTTGCATTTACACTGATAACAAGAATACTGAAGGAGCCTAGCTGTGGCAGAACCACTCTCGATCATCTATCAAAGGTCTTGAGAATCTTGGGGAAGTCCCTGCTGACTAGAAAGTAGTCAATGTTATTCCTATCTGCAAAAAGGGCATGAGGAAAGACTGAGGGAACTACATGCTGTTAGTCTAACCTCAGTTCCTGGAAAAATTACGGAGAAGATCATACTACTGCAAGACAGTTAAAGAATAAATGGACTACGATTGAATATTAGGAAGTATTTCTTTACCAAGAGGGTGATCAAACACCAGAACATGCTTCCTAGAGAACTAGTTGATGCCCCAAGTATGTCAGAGTTTAAGAGACATTTGGACAATGCCTTTGACAACATGCTTTAAATTTTGTGCAGCCCTGAATTGGTCAGGGAGTTGGACTAGACCATCATTGTAGGTCCCTTCCAACAGAAATATCCTATCCTATCCTATTCTATCCTATCTTGTCCTGTCCTATCCTATACCCCCCAAAAGGTTTTGTCTTGTTTCTGAAAACCTTTTAAGCTATTTTTTAAAGTTTCATCAGCTCATGCCTTTAAGAACATAATACTGTTCACTACTGCTTAACTATGTAACTGTACTTTGGTCATGCAAATGCCAGATTCCCACAACTCAAAGCAATTATCCATACAAAAAATGGAAAGCTACGAAGGTGAAATGGGTGATGAAATCATAATTGTAAGCTACATGTGCAGACATTGTAAGCATGACCTCCCTGAATGCTTCATTATTTTCACTATAATCTAAGGGCTCCAGTCCTTTTCCTGACAGGGAAAAGGCAGTAGGTAGCAATGAAGTGATAATATGCTACCAGTGCAGCAGTTTCTTCTGTCGTAGCTGTTTTCTGTGTCATTGTACATCGATCTAGGACAGGTAAAATAAAGCTATTCCTATGACCAAAACCTTACAAGTTTGGAGAAGTCATGATACGCAATCATGAGATTCTCTCTCTTTTGCTTATTCTGCAACATCTGTGACATCTTTTCACCCAACAGGCAAATGAGTGTCAGAAATGCAGCAGCACCATCATATCCCAGAGACCTCGTTTCATATCAATCAAGAAAATTGACATACCAATGATGAGCAGGACCCCAATAAGAAGCCCAATTGCCTGGCCAGCGGTTGGCCAGGAATGATGACGCTCTACTTCAATAAAGCATGACTTTTCACTTGAACACTTGCAGATGTTTACTGCAAAAAGAAATGCCATGAGGTTAATGAGAAGTTAACCAGTTTGGTTATTCATAAAAGCAACTGTTGTCTTGAAGTGAGCAGTTCTGTGCATAGTGTACCTTCAACATTCACTTTTCCTTCCAAAGGTGGTTTTCCATTGTCATTAATTATTACTGGAACATTATACACCTTCTCTTCAAAGTTAGCATGTTTCGGAGAGAGGTAAGCATGAGTAGCTGTGAGTAGGAAATGAAACATTCATGTCAGTACAAGAAAGAAATGTAACTCAACATTCACACCAGCTGCAAATGCTGTTTTTTAAGGCTGCTGTGTACATATTGGTAGTTCCTGTTTTCCCCCATCCCAGTTGTCATTGGTTTGCAGACAGTAAGTCAAAAGGAACTAGTCTGGCCTTCAGCATCATACAATCATAGAATTAACTTCCTAATTTCCACAACAGGCCAGATCTGATTAGGGAGAGTACGATGAAAGTATCACATTTAAACCAAGAATAACCCCCCCATAATCATAGAAGTCCTAACCAACTTAACTCATTCACCCAAAAAACTCTGGAAAAACCATACATGAACTCCCTTTGCTGCAAGAGCTGACCATTTACTCCAGCTCCTCATTTTTAACTTACAATCTATCCTGTCAAAACTTGTTCCCGACAATCACAGTTTTCTGTAATGGGACATTTCATCAAGTATCTGTTAGGAAGTCAGACAGGCTCTATTGGCCAAGCTTTTATCCAGGCACTTACTGACCCCCTTTCAAATAACTCCACTTCGTGAGGCATGACTTCCCTTTGCACATGAAATGTCAGAAATAGGCAGTTTGCAAACTGCTCTATTTCAATAGCAGAAGTGATTTGTGTTCATTAATCACAGGGTACATTTTATTCTTATGTGTTTCTTCTGCTGGAAGTACTAGTGAAATTTTAGCTTGCAACATGATGGATATAATGTCTTGAAAAAAATCATGACATAGGTGTTCACTAAATAGGTGTCAAAATGCATGTAATTTCTCAGCAACCTGTTTTTTTTCTACATGGAATACTGGATATACAATAATAGTAATGAAAAGGAAATTGATATTTCTTTATATTTGCCAGAGTACTTAAAGGGTCCCATATTATTATAATAATAGCTTTATTAACTTACCATTGACTTTTGAGATTTCCCAACTATTTCTTGTATTCATATCATCCACGAGAGAAAAAGTAAATGTTGAATAATAATGCTGTTCATCAGCATCAGTAGCTTGAATCAGAGCTTTCTCTCCTCCACTTAGTGGGTGGCAGAAGAAATTAGTATAATCCATGGCTAACTGAGGAGGGTTATCATTCACATCAAGTAATTGTAGCATCAAGGTTGTTTTAGATTTCTGAGCTGCATTATCTGTAGAGTTAGATATTATAGTTAGATAATGCAAAGTTGCATACACATCTTGGACACAGGCTGGGCTGTTGCATTTGCAGCTATTCTATAGGTACACCGTCAGGCAGGCAGCGGGAGGTGGGATTCTGTCTGCAGGTTGCAGAGGCAAGGTCTCAGGACACCCTAAGGGACTCATGCCAGCTGCTTTTGCTAACTATAGAACTAGCAAGTGAAAGGAGGCAGATAGACCATCGTATCCAGTAAGAGGCCACATCAGCATTACATCTGGTAAGTGGTCACATCCAAGGTGACCAGTGCTCTTTGGAGACTTTTAAATACAAACTGCCTAGCTTTCCCATATCTCTTCTATAGATAGGAAATGCAAGTCAATATTCTGCCTAAGGCCTAGACACAGGGCCCAGGAAGAACTTACAGAGCCCTGTCATTTCTCCAACCTGTTCCTGCAGGAACAGCCCCACTCTATCGTGGTGCTGAAGGAAGCATTCTTTTTTCCTGACATACAGGAAATGCGTCTTTACCCATATTTCCAAAAACAGTGGCCAGTATTGTTGTTTATCTGTTTTTAATAAAGGAACTCTAGATTTGTACTTAATTCAATCAGATATAGTCTAGAGTTTTTAACCTGTTAAATGTAAATCACACAATGACATCTCCCCAGATGGACTTTTTGAAAGATTCTAACGGCTGGAACTAGTAGCCATAATATATTTCAGACTAACTAGTGTACAGTTTTATTCATAATAAAGTAAAATTCTGTACAAGGTTGCAAGTTGCTCTCCAGGTATGCTTTCAGGATGCCTAAACATACCTATAATAAAGACTAAAATTTTTATAGCTATAGAGCAAAAAAGTGGCAGAAAATGTTAATGCTGAAAACACTGAAGTAATTCTAGCCTTTTTTAGGCTAGAGTGCTGTGTGACTCAAGCAAATATGATAGCTAACTTCATGAAACCTCTTTTAACCCTCATTATCTACAATATCAAGATTTCTTTTAAGAAAGTTAAATTGTTAAGAAATATGAACATCTAAGGCTACATTACATGTTCCTGTAATTTCATGAGTTTAGTCATGGGAAGTATGATAATTCCTCATAAAGCAGTTAAGAGCAGGAGATTCTTCTGTGTGCATATGTAGTTGTTTCATCACTTACTTAACTCTGATGCAACAACATCGACTGTGTACATTGCTTGTTGTTCTCGATCCAAAGTGGAAGCAGTGTATACCTGCCCAGTGGTTGAATCAATCCTCAGCCATTTCCTCACATCACCTTCTAAGGAGTATCTTTGGAAAGAAATAGGAAAAAAATCACATCTACTATTCCAAATCAAAAAGTTGCTGACAAAGCAAACACTTCTTCATTGATTTTAGGCTTGATCAGAATTGTGCTTGAAGAGAGGGTTCTTGAAGAGTCCTGATTTGACTACAACCAAAGAGGAAATACAGATAGTGGAAGGGAAGCCAAAATTATTGAGAGTGAGAGCAGAACCAGGGCAACACCACCACTCCTTCAGCCTGTGTACTGCAACTCAGCCTTCGTCCTGACTGCAAAGTCTACAACCTTCTGAGCTTTTGGTCCAAAAGTGCTCTCTGTTCCAACCCCATGTCTCTCTTTCCCCATTACATCGCCCACATCTTGGTTTTCATTGGGGCACAAGCCAAAGCCTGGGGGAAAGAGGGAGCAGTAGAGGCAGGCATCCTTTTTTGGATCAGCAAGGGGCCTGGACCCCAAGGTGGACTCCAGTGGTTATCTGCTGCCAGTCTTAAGCAGCCTATAGTTGAATCAGGTTAGCCTTGGAACAGAGAGTGCTTTAAACATTGCCACATAATTGCCTTTATATTATTGTTTAAAAAACCCCAAGGTCTCTGGGTATTTACTTGTACAAATTTAACCACGAACATATGACCCAGTAAAGCACAGGCATTTGCTTGAGTAGATGTGACCTGACCTTCTCATTCAATGTTTTTGTTCTTTCAGTACCCCTTGCATTAGAAACAGCATGTTGACATGCTTGTACATCTTTTACTTTTTATACTTTTTATTTTATGCCCTTTAACCTATTTCTTAGCAGAAATGTGGTTTGTGTATGTATGAATTCCTGTCATCTGTCATTATCTCCCAGAGCTTCTGGACTATATGGCTCACTTTCAAACCAGTTTGACAAGAGGCCAAACATGCTAAGTTCCCAAAAGCTAGGGGAAAGTAGAAAGCCAGATGAGAAACCTCTGGGAATAAAAATCCATGGGAGGCCTAACAGTCATATTCTGCAAGTCCATTAACTACTTGGTGTTTTGCCGAATTTTAGTAAGATTTCAAGGCTTGTTTGGTTTGGGTTGATTTGCTCAGCATCCCAGCAGGGAATCTTGCAGCAAGAGCCACAGATAATACTTTTATCTGGCTTTACTGTGTAAGGTACATTTACACTGTGCAACACAGCACTGTGCATCCATGAGCTGGCAGGAACTCAAGGGGACTTAACCATACAACATGTCATTGAGCCACTGAATGGACCAGTTTGAGGTTTTGCACCCCCCTCACAAGCGTAGGAGTTGCCTGTCACAGAGCTTTGCATCCACAGTGGAAGCAGGCATATTGTCTTTGGCAATTGAAAAAGAAAATTAATTAATTGTCGATGACAGACTTGAGCTTCACTGCAGGTTGTGTGTTTTGGTGGAGAAAAAGCTCTGTTTTCCACAGTCCAGTTTCTGTAGAACATGAAAAGAAGTTACTGTCCTACTGGTTCCTGGGGGTAAGCAGTATGTGCTTCATTCATCTGTTAAAGACATTATGGATCTGGAAACCCTGTTAATCTCAGACCAGCTCTGCCTTTTCCTTGGAGACATATATTGGCCCTTTTGGTTTCCTGGTTTGGGGGTCTTACTGGCTGATGCTTGTCACAGCACAGAAAGGGCCCTGGTTAGAAAAGCACCGCCCAGCAGTCTGTTCCAAGTGGGTCACTGGCCACCACCCCACCACTCCTCCACCTTCTTCTAGGAGATAAGACTTCTGTAAAAGTCTTTTCCTGCTGTCAAATGCTGGGTGTGATTTCCTTGTGTCTCTTTCAGAACAATTTTCTAAATCTAATAAATAAATCATGGTCACTTTTTTTTACCGTACAGTATCCCCCTCAGGATCATAGGCCTCCACCGTCATGACCAGCGTATTGACAGGAACATCTTCAGACACTTCTCCTTTGTAAAATGTCTCATGGAAACTGGGTGGTTCATCCACATCTGTTACGAATACTTTAAACAGGGCAAGGGAGCTTGAATTGTACTGCACGCCTGACACCAGAGGTTCGGGGTTTGTGGCGTTGATCACCAGGTTGTACACTGGAGCTGTTTCAAAATCAAGAGCCTAGATAAATCAGGAAAGAAAAGAGGTGCTTTAAGCAATGGCCCTACTGTCGGGGGGAGCTCCCACGGGAAACTACAAAGTCCCCCTCTTTTCAGGGGGGAGACTGCATCTCATACACAGATTAAATAAGGGGGAGCTGTCAGAAGCACAATGACACTGGGAACAGTCAATTTAAATGAAACCATATGCCGATTTGGAGGCCTCCTCAGCAACTGCCTTTCCTAATAATGTTGCCACCTGCCTGACTAAGCTCAATAACTATATCCTGATTACAACAATTGTATTTATAGTTCTGTATGAGAAGGTCTTGGGTGACAAAAGTTGTGTAAGGGTTGTTACATTGTGGAGTTTCTCACAATTGCCTCCTTGGGAAAAAAAAGACACTGAGGTTGAGCCTGAAGAAGGTCCACCAAATGCTGCGCTTGGCCTGGCTGGCAGCAGGTGAACCGAATGCAAATAACACATCACCTCTTGAAAAATTAGTGGTAGGCTTTCTGGACCCATAGTTCAAGCACCTTTGAGAAGGCTGATTTCACTTTTGCTATTGAAATTAATGGGTGCAGAGAAAGTGTTCTCCAGCTTTCAACATGTGGGATATATCACCTGCTGCAGCATGCTCTGACCTTGGCTTTGTCCCAGTTAACATTTGCCTCAGCAGGAACACACTGCTTCTCCATCCTGACATTGAGACATGCTGGTATCATTTGCATCTCCCACCACAAAAGCCCAGGCCACCAGCAGGGAGGAGGATCTGCCCCATGACAAGCCACCACCACAACCACAGCCCATGGAAGAATTTAGCTGGCTTTCTCATTTAGAGAAATGCTGTTGCAAAATCAAATAATGCCTTTTCTTTTCTTGATGGTGCATCAAGATCTACTTCATCAACCACAGCCTGCTTTGCTGGAGAAAGGGCCTGCAGAAGAGCCAGCTACATATTTATACATATATATATATATATATATATATATAAAGGAGAAGAATAAAACCTTCTATTTACCTTGTTAATCCTGACAAACCCTTGTTTTGTGTCAGAATCTGTTTCTATGAAGAACGTGTTATATGGATCTCCTTCCTTCACTTGGTAAATGATGTAGGAGCTCCCTGTGCCGGGCTCATCTCCATCGGTAGCTTTAATTTCTAGTATCACTGTTCCTACTGGGAGATCTTCTGCAACAGTCACATTGTGATACTGAGGAAAAAGAGATCATTGAAACATGACACACCAAGCACCATCTGCAGATAAAACTTGAGTGCTACACCAAGGTTGTGACCCACAAGCACAGATGTATTTTGACCCAGAGCAGCTGTGTGAGAGAGGGAAGTAGTGGGTACACTTCACAGCAGAGACATATCCGGGTCAGAAAAATGTACTAAAGCATTAGTAAAGTGCCCTACAGCAATCAATACATGTGAGCTACCTCACTGCCCATGGGAACCCAGAGCTGCAAGCTGGGCCTCTGCAAAGTTGCTATATCCCCCTTTTTAGCCATACATTTATCAAAGGTGATGAGATATCTGTCAATGGGTGAACAGTGACCAACAGTCCCAAACCTTTACCTCCTCCGTTGAAACCACTCCATGTTCATGCAGTTCTCACAGCAGTAGTGATAGTACAGCTCCTCTGTACCCAGTAATCACCATAGCCACTGATTGTTAAATATTGAATTGCTCCATGCACCATAGGCCATTGCAACATTAGCAGCCCGGCTCCATTTACTCTGTTTGATGTGTGCCCTGACCCATCAGTCTCATCTTAAAATCAAGTCCTGGACCTTGAGGTGAGAAAATCAACAACCTGCTAGTCTGCATGTGTTCAAGCTCCTGTCATCATCAACAGAGAGCTGGGCAATGAATGCAGTCAGCAAAGCCCCAAAACCACCACAGATTCCCCAAGAAGACATCGACACCTGATGGACCAGACATCTCTCCTGAGCCCTATATTGCCTGTAAATGTGGCTGTAGCTTACGCAACTAAATGTAGATACTTCAGCCACTGCAGTGCCTGCAGGGAGGCTTAGGCCAGCAGGCAGAAGTCATGGAAGGTTTGCAGGTATCTCTTCCAGATGCCAGCACCTCCACCAGAGAAGGAGACAAGAGCCTGACACCCATTCTGTAACCAAGGGCCAGTGGGTATGCATTTGGGCATGGATCACAGGACCACTGTTTCTGGTTAAAGAAAATAGAACCTTTGTTTTCCATTCACCTATGTGTTTTCTGGATACATTAATATAGGTTTTGGAATAGAACTTGGGAGACGTTAGTTTTTTTTTCCATTTAGCTACTTTATTTAATTTCAAAGCCTTTTCTTCCACCTTTCCCTCCAGAACTTCTATTTCTGGAATAAACTGCCTTAATGGAAATATTTCTTTCTGCACACATAGTTTTCCACTGAAATATTACCTTATATTTTAGAACTATGAGTCTGTCCCACTGTTCACTCTCTAGATAGAATTTATATGCAGGCTTTGCAGCAATACCTTCCCTTTATTTTCTCTAGTAGATTGCTGTTACTTGTTCTGTATATGGTTATTTTCCCACTGACATTCAATAGACATGAACGTATGCTCAAACATTCGTCAAAAGCTATTGGGACATCAAGAATGGTGTTCAAAATACTCACATCTGATTTTTCAAAGATGGGAATCTGATCATTGATGTCGATGACATGTATTTGCACGTCACAGATTGTTTGGAATACTGCATGGAAAGAGAACAAACCGGGTCACTGCAGTCCTTCTGCTGAAAATAACTTTCCTTTGAAAGGGTTCACTGTGAGCAAAAGTGAGCACTGCCAAATTGCCCGATCCAATCGAAGTCCTGCTGTTGTAAGAAGCACTTGGTCTCCAATATCTCCTAGTCAGTGACAACCTCACTCTCTTACTATTCACTTTCCCAGTTCATTCAGCATTGTCCCATCCTGTTTCATTTAATTTCCCTCATTTTTTTCATCATATCCCTTTACCAGAGTGATAATGGAGACATTCAAGGCCAGGCTGGATGTGGCTCTGGGCCACAACCTGATCTAGTTGAAGATGTCCCTGCTCATTGCAGGAGGGTTGGACTATATGACCTTTGAAAGTCCTTTCCAACACAGACTATTCTATGATTCTATGATTCTATGAATTAGGTTAGCATTCTCAATATTACTTCTGCATGTTGAAAAGTAAGCCCCAGCTTGTTATGCTACTTTGCCCTCTTGGTGGGTCATCAGGCAGTACACCCATTTTTATTCATTAAAGTTGCATTAAATTTTAATTCTATGTAAATCTATGTGCTACTTGGGAAAGGACACCCATAGCAATGGGGGTTTGTGATTTTAAAAGAATACTCTGTCTGGTTACGTGCTATTCATATGTAGCTGGATTTTGGTGTTTTACAGATGCACTTTGTGAGCTGGAAGTTAAGGAATATTCTAAACAAATCCGTTTGGATGAAATTCAAATTAGTAACCAAAGCAAATCACCAGCTTCTCCCTGTGCAAGGTTTTCATATCATCTGCCTAAATGATGCCATTTCACATACAGATATGTCACACTACTTTCTTTACATACCAGTTCCTCCATCCACAAGTTTTGCCTGACTATGAGGACTCCAGCACAAAGCTTTAAGCTTTAAGGTTTAGTATGGGGCTTGATTTCCTTTCCATTCAGTGAACCACAGAAGACTTCTGGGAACTTACAGAATCGACAAGATTCTTTTTGAAGATTAATTTCAGCTTTTAATCTTTTAAAATACATTATCTGGACTCTCTGAACATCTGTGTTTAATTTCTTGATTTTCTTCTTTAAGTGACTTTGAAAAATATTTGGGGAAAACCACAATCATGATCTCTTCAACATTTTTTCCTTGTGGAAGGAAATCTCTTACTGGAGTACTTGTTAACAAGCTTCCCAATTTAGCCATGCTCTACCCTGGAGCTGGTTTCCTTCCATACTTGTATTATGAATCATGATTAACCTCTCTGCATCTCAAGAACAAGGCAGTACCATGCCAGAGCAAGCCAGCTTTCAGTGCTAATGCCTCTCCAGTGAATCCTCCCGGTCTCCTCTCATCTCCTGATACTCCTGAACATAATTATTTTCCAATATATATCTCAAGGCATTTACGTACCTGTATCTGTCACCAGCACCTTCAAAGAATAGTTGGATGCAATGCCCTTGCTTAATGAACGGCCAGTTAACTGCAAAATCCCAGTATCTTGCTGAATGAAGAACAGATTACTTGCAGGAACATCAGGAACCTGACTTTCAATTTTGTACTGCAGGCGAGAATTAAGGGTGTCCTCCTGATCCCTGTCCGTAGCTAAGAGGGTGCCAATATTACTTCCTGTGGCAGAGAAGAGACGAGAGTCAGTGGTCGTTTACAGAAGTACATACTGACAGCAGTGATATCAACGCAAAGAGTAGAGGGGCAATAAAAATACAACTGCATGGAAAACACTGCAAAGGATACAATTATTTGACTTCTGGGAGATTTTCTTTTAGCATCCCAACCAGCTGTTTTGGGCTTGGAACAGTCCAAAAAGACTAGGCCATGTGTTTTGATCGAAGAAGTGATTCTAACAATAGATACTTCAGCCTTGAAACCAGATAACTGATGTGAAGGCTTGGGGACAGATTATATGATATTAGTAAAGAGAGGTGTGTTTTTCTTTTTACGTTCTATGCAGTTGTCCAAAACTGTGGTTGTGGAAAATGGAATTTTACGTTTTAAATGGAATAGCATTTTTTAAGTGGGGGTCTTGGGTCTGCTTTTCTCAGGTTAATGAAACCATTTCAGCATGAATTCCTGAAGTGAAAACAAGGCTATTTGCACATGAAAACATTCATCTAGGACAGCTACATTTTACTCTTTGGGATCAAAACTTCTAGCTTTATATGCACCCAGCTGGAAACAATAACAGGGCTAGAAGGATGCATAAATGACTAGAAGCTGTTTTCTTACCTCCACCTTCATTTTCTTGAACTTCAATTACAGTGAGGGCCTTCTGGCACACAGGAGGATTGTCATTAATGTCTTCCACCGCCACATGAATTTGCAGAGGCTTGTCCACCAGTTCTCCCTTGTTATCTTTTGTGACCACAAAGAAATTATACTGCAATAAGAATATTGAGATTAGATGTTTTGAATGTCCAGTGTGACAACATCGTGCATGTAAATGTGTAGCTATGGAGTGCTCCATGCAAATGAAGTATTCTTATATGTTTGTTCAGTATTTTCACTTTGTTTAACTCAGAACTCTTCCATCACCCCTTAGCGTCTGAAGTCTGAGATCTCAAAAGAATTTTTAAGTCCTGAATACTTCACTGCACTTTGAACTTGCTCTCACAACAATACAAGAAAAGCAGAAATACCTCATTATCATCACTTTGCAAGTTCATCTGTCACATACAGAAGTAGGATTCCTCCAGCATATTTAATCTCTGTGCCCAAAGTTCCTCAAATAACAAAAGGCGACAGAGGTGTTTCTGTCTAAAAGGCCCCTGGATGGGTTAACTTCCCAGTTGCAACTGAAAGTTAAACTCCGCTTCCGCTCTGGAAAGATCCCTGGGCCCCTGGGATTTGGAATAGATATAAAACATCCAAATCTCCTGTCCTTCACAAATGCCATCATCTACCTCTTGCTCATGCATCTACAACCCTGCCATGGTTGTCTGCATTGTACATTATACATACACTGTGGGCAGTGATTACTACTGCCAGATGCATGAAGAAATGTTGTAGGGTACTAAACTGAAGGCTGTTCGCAGTGTAGTAGGTGAATGTTCTGTCATATCTATCAAGTCATTCCCAAAGAGAAATGACAAGAAACAAAGATTTTACTTTTTTCTAGTGAGCTTTCTTGAATTTAGTCCCACACCAATAAACAGCTTCCTGCTGCGGTCTCTCCCATTGGTGAGGTTTTGTGTATTTACTTACAGTATCCTTTTCTTCCCTGTCCAACGGTTCGGTCACGTAAATAACTCCATTCTGATCGATGGAAAATGGGAGCCGGGGCAGCTTTTCTTTTTCAAAAATGTCATAAATTACATCTTGCTCATTTGAGTGCACCTAAGCCCACAAAAATGAGTCAGGATAGGAAGTCAGAAGTGCAGACTGAGATTTAACAAAGATCATTTCTGGACCACAAACAGAAAAGACTGCATTCCTGTTAGCTTCGGAAACCAGAAAACTAACAGTTAGGCAGTTACTTGGGATGAGCTGCAGAAAACCAAACTGATAATCCACCTCTGTTCTCTAAATTGTTGTGTTCAAGCCATTTTACCTCAGTTTCTTCAGCTGTCCAGGTGGGCTACAACATTTATCTTTTTATGGAAGGGTTTTGGGATGTGGAGCTAAATGGTGGTACACCAGAAAAAAGCATTATATATATTTGAATGTCTTGAAACTAATTTATTCCATCTCCTTACACTGTATTTTCCTGCCTGTTGTTTTGGTTTACCTAATTCAGAGGTGTGGAACAACAAAACTAATACCAGGTACCTATTGGCACAAATGCGTCTGCGTGCTCTTTATATGAATCAAAGTCTGTAATGAAGTATCTTTAGTGGGGTGTTTCAGATTTAAAATGAAATGCAGTAAACAGACTTCCAAATTAATGGAGTCAGTATTGCTGGGGCTTTTATATATACACTATATTGCAGGAACTGCATTTCATTTTCCCCTATGCAGAAACCACTTGTCATTGGCTGTCATGGGAAATTTAGATGCAAGTGACCTCTGAATAGGAGCACCATTGCATATTAGTTTTTCTTTCACCTGTTTTCCCTCTGGACTGCCTCAGACAGACACTGAGGCCAATGGGAATAACATTGAGTGAATTACTTTTGCAAACAGGATTCGAGGATTCCTGCCATGTCCAAGGTGTGACAGCATTTGGGTGTCAGTGCCAAGGCATTTTTCAAAGTCAAACATTTCTGAAAGGCTGCTGGCCCGTTAGTTGATAATTGCCAATGTATGTACACTGTTATTGGTCTACAGTGATCCGCAAAGTATTTTGTATTTGCACTGTGAAAAGAGGAATACCATGGGAATGCAGGATGCCGAAGGACAGCATCAGTCCTGCCAAGGTATTTTTGATATAGCAGGTGTGCTGCATCACACCAAACTGGTCACAGCAGAGCTTCCTTGGTCCAGGGTTGGAGTGGAGATGACCCCCGGCCAGACTGTTCTATGGATAGAAGAAGCTAACCTCTGAATAACCTTCAGCGGGTTAGCTCTTGGTCTGCCTAAAGCCTGAAGGGTCCATGGTGTTAGAGTGAGGCTGGAAATGCTCAAAGAATCCCATTAGGAGAGAAGAGTGGCACCTCCACAGAGGGTCCCAACTGTCTGGGAGCTCCCTTGGGATGTCTCAAGAGCTTTATCTTCCATATTGTGCCAGGTAGCCTTGTAAAGTACCCTTTTTCCTCCAGTCATCACACTGTAGCAAAACTATCCAAATGTTTCCTCTATCTATGCGATGCTCTCACACAAAGGCAGTGCTGACAGCCTCTCCAAACTGAAGGGCAAAGTCCAGTCACTCTAATGTTTACATTGACTGTATTCAAACTATTCACTTTCACACTAACAATAATTTAACGAGACCAACTAGAGGTCGTTCCCAAAGGATACCGTATAACAAAAAATAATAGGGAGGTACCAAAGTGTTTCTGAAGAGCCTGGTGTTGAGTGCAGTGGGGACACCTTCACAGTCAGCTGTGAAAAAACAACGCCATGAGGCACTGAGGAGAGGTAGAGGAATCACGGTCAAGGGCCCTACCTGGCTGATATTGACAGGGTGGGCCTGGGTTGAGTTTTCTTGGATGTGAATGATGGAGGGAGCTTTCCACAAGCTCTCCTTCACAGTGATGATCACATCGGTGCTGCTGGTGAAAGCATTCATTGTCATTCCTGCCATGTCCTTCACAGTGACGACGAGTGTGAAGGTGTCCTGCTTTTGAGGATCTAAGTAATAAGAGCCTAGAGACAGAGCAAAGAGCCAAGTGAAGTGAAGCAGAGGCTGTGGAGATGGGTCATCTGTCCATGGTACTATAAGCACTGTTTCTACATGCACTATGCTTCTTCATCTGCTCCATACTCACTCCGTAGATTGGCCTCTGTGACAAATCTTAGCAAGCCATTTCCTCTGGCTTTTCTGCACAATGCAGCACAGCATCATGTGAACATAACTGTATGAGATTTCTCTGCTGTGGTCTCATGTTGTGGAGATGCATCACTGAACATCCCTCACTCCAGTTACGCACTCCTGTTCAGCCCAGCAGAAGACACAGGGAGTTTTAAACCATTGCAATTCAGTTGGGATCATGTGGCCAGCTGAGTTTTTTTTGTGTTTTTCATGCTACTGCTTTTGGGTTTCTATATTTCAAGGAAGAGAAAATCCCAGGACATGGGTCAGTGTAGTCCTGAGGGCCAGAGGATCTACCTCTCTTCTCAATGTTCTTTTAGATCCTAGTCTCCATTTCTGATAACTTCCCTTGAATTTGGTAGAACACAAAGTTCCCCCAAAACCAGGGCCTCAGTGGAGTATGTCCCACTGACTACATTTATTCAGAATTTAACATGAAGGCTGTGCTGTTGTTTTGCTCCTATGTACACCCAGGAATTCATGCTTGCTTTTTGACAAATAAGAATCTTTTTACATACCCATTCTACTCGGTGAGATTGCTCCAGTTACATTGTCAATCTGGAAAAGCATTTCTGAATAAGGATTGGGAAAATGATGAAGAATGCTGTACACCAGCTGTGCATGGAGAGTGGTAGGATCATCACGGTCAGTGGCGTGGACATACATGAAGGGCTTGCCTGTTTGGATTAGAGAGGAAACAGCAGTAAGAGGAGACAGAAACCTCCACATGTAGTCCATCCAAGCAGAGCCCTCAAGCTAGGAAGGCAGCTTATGGAAAGTTATGTATCTCTCGTAGTAAACGATGCTTGTGTATAGAGGTTACACTGCCTGTGTATCATCCCACACCCTACCCTGGTAGCCCCCTCACCAGCTCTGCTTAGTATTTTCCCAATAGTCATGAAGACCAGTTGATGAAGAAGATGTCAGGAAATATAATTAAACTAATCTACCTAGCTTCACATTAACTATAATATTTAATTCTTATGACAATTACCTGGACGGGAGTTCTGCCTCACTACTCCAGTATACTTCATCTGGTCAAATTCTGGTGGGTTGTCATTGATATCCTCCACATATATTGTAACAGCACATGGACCTTTCACTGTGTTTCCATTTTCATCCAAGCTTTCTACCTTGAGTTGAAAGAAAACAAAAAAAAGAAAGCAAAGAAATATTTTCATGTATATAAGTTAAATGACATAAATGAACATCAGGATGTCAAATGCTAAGTCCTTCTTACTGTGATGCAAATCTGGTGAGAGTCATCACTGGGTGGCTCCTTTTACAAGGTATATACTGTGGTGTAGCTCACTGATAATGATTTGCCAGAGTATATATTGCCAACAGAACAAAATAACTTACTCCTACTTCTGATGACAATTTTCCCACTTCCAGTCTCAGCAGACTACTTGTATTCTTGAACAGCTTAGACTACACACCTTCTTTAAATAGAAATAGATAGTTTCCAAAGAACAGGGAGAAAACCCAACACGATATAGCAGAATCAAGTGTGCTATTGTAAATATCAACCTGAAAATAGACTGATCTACGGATTTGTAAAGAAAACTTGATTCCTAGTTCTGATTGATTGCATTTTCATTCCAAACAATTTGACTTATTTTTTGTACTTCTTTGACCTTAAAGCACCAAGAATGTATTATGTCTGCCAGAATTAATTTTGTTAGCATATAATAGAACAAATTATGATTATTTATGTCTATTATTTTGACTGTTGTTGGGAAATGTGTTATTATGCCTTAGTTACTATGCCTAACCAAGTATCATTTTTCAATTCTGTCATTACTTGTCTGTAAAGGATTCCCATGTTTAGGTTAATAAGTTCTGGGGCTAGAAAATTGTCCTCTCTAATTCCATTTCAAGGGTGCTTTAAAGCTGAGAACATGAAACCATTAAACCTGAAGTGCTGGACTTTATAAAGATAGCTAAGGCTAGCTGAAACATCATAATGTTCTTTGTTCAGATACTGATTCTCTCACAATCACCTTTTCAGTTGCCTGTGCCTCAGAATAAGACAACACCATTTTTGACACAGAATAAGGGCACAACAGTACACTGAGAACAAAAGATCGCCTACCCACTGTCCCACTCCCAACAGTGTTTACAATGACACCCTTATGAAAAGAGCGTAACAGCAGGACAAACACAGAATGCTTTTTAATCTAATAGCCTCCAACATATACAAAACAAACTTTCTGCTGTTATCTAATAGAGGTTAGATCTGTGCCTCTGTGGTTTTTACTCACACCATTTGTCACTAAATAGAATATAATCGTAATAAAAAGATTACAATAGCTAATTTTCCCATTTCAGCCATGGAATTCACCCAATCAGTCTTCAAGGTTAACAAGCTAACCTCATTCATGGGCCAGATTTCACTTCCAGTCAAGTGTTCTCGTCATATTAGAAGAACTAAAGTATTGGTGTTGGCATTAGGGTAATTTCTGTTTTCTCAAAATAACTTTTGTGTGTTAAGGAGCATTTTCCTGCAATAGTTTCAGAACTATAAAAACCATGTGCCAGTCAGCAAAGCTCAATATTAAAAATGAAAAGCTGCCTGTCAACATAGACAAAGGAAAGAATTTGTAATTTCAGCAGTTTTCCATTAATTTCAGGTTTACCAAAAAAGGGTGAATATGAATAACCCTCCCTTCCTATTTTTCACCAAGTTTTTACCTGCAGTCTGTGCACTGCTTTGGTCTCCCAGTCCAGAGACCCATTGAGATACAGGATGCCTGTCCTTGGCACAATGTCAATTATTCCATCTTTTTCACCAGTCACTCGGAAGCTCACAGCAGGTGGCTCAGATGTGAACTAGAATTAGGAAAAAACAGAGGGAAAAATCATCCCCTTTTTTCAGCATTTTCACTATAATCAAGATAATTCCATGCTTTTGTGTCTTTAAAATCTGTGGCCAACAGTATACTTGTCTGAGGGAATGATATTCCAAGAGTCTGCTCAAACAAATCTGCTCTTTTCTGATCCTCAAGAGAGGAGTTTTCACATTATTTCCTGAATGCTTCAGGAAATCCCAACTGTGGTTTCTTTCCAAAGCAAACGTCTGCTTAGGAAGAGGCTTTGTCTGAGCACGGGAATGGAAAAAAATGACACACATTCTCCATTTGCCTGGGAGCTTGATCTGTCCTTCTGTGGCTATGGCTTTGGGAAGAAAACCTCAGAGCTGAAGGAAAATGATGACACAAGTTACATGGAAACCCATTCTCTAGGAATACTGGTTTTATTAAACTCTGCCTTTGGATATCATCTCAAAATGTGTTTGAGAAGGGACTGTCTGATGTTTTTTGCATGCAGACTCTTGAATTCCCAGATAGAGGAAGTCAAAGTTAAATTCAGATCCTCTCAGAGGACTGTTCTTCCCACCAGCACAGATAACAACAGTGCGCATAAGGTCAGTGTGTGCAAACTATGAGGGTTTTGACTGGGCTGGCTACCAAGAGACATTTGATTACCTGGTAAATGAAGCGCACTCCCCCTCCTTCTGGAACAGAGAAATTCATGTCCTTCAGAGGCCCAGTCACGTGCAGGTCCCCCATATTCTGGCACATTGCCTGTGAGAGATAGAGAAAGGGACAGAAGAAAGCAGACGAGGGACGTTTGCTGTCACCACATACAAATATCAGTTCTCCATCAACTGAACCTCTTGAGAGTTATTTTGCTATAATATAGTGGAAGAGACTCTTTCTGGTTTGCACTGAACACCTCTGTGTTATTTAGTGTACATTTATTTTTAAAAGCAGTGTTATTTATTAATCAATTTGGAAACAAACATTTGGGCCCTACCTTTTTCTGACCACTGCATAATTACATGAGATTTGGTCTACATTCAAGAGCAAACAGAAGCACCAAAGAGCTGAATGCAGACTGACAGCAAGAAGAAATTCATAAAAGCATTTTTGGACCACCTCTGTGTCCCCGACAGATCCAATCACATCCCATTCAGGAGCCACACAGTCCCATGGCCACAAGTGTGTTGGGAGACCCAGTGCCACATCTGGGGATGGGAAGGAACTGGGGCTGCACCCCTTGTAATTTCCTGAGTAAATCCAACACTTTTTTGTAAGGGGGAAAAGGTGGAGATCCTCAGGTCCCTACTACCCCAGCATCTGGGAAAGCTGCTTGAGCCCTGTGACTTCACATCAGCAGCATGTGAGTGCAGTCCACAGCCAGAGCAAACATGTCCTGCTGATCTTTGGCTTCTACCTTGTCACAGAAGTGCCTTGTAAGTCTGTCTCAGCCTCTGTTTTCTTTCTAATGGCTGACAATGCCTTCACATAGTGTTTTATCTGGCAAATTTTTCTTGAGTTTTATATGAGTTTTACAACCACCCCCTCCCTAGTGCCCAAAGACCTCTTCACACACTCCTACCTTAACATTTCAGTGCTGTTCTTGTTTTTAAACAAGAAAAGGAAAGCAAAAATCAGCCTCCCAGAACAGCCCCTGCACACAAGACAATTCATCCTGTGGTTCAGATAATCTACCTCTTTCTCCAAATGCAAGAATAAACTCCTCTGAATGCCTACCCTTCTCTCCCTGTCACCAAGGTCTTGTTAATGCTGAGGAGCTGCCTGCCAGAATTAGGTCTTCACCATTTGGCTGCACAGGTAAAACTCCCTTTCTTTTGGAGTAAAAATGACTTTATTTTGCTTTATGGATTTGGAGTGCCATTGCCACCCTCTTTATTGCTCCATGGAGCCGGGCTCTGAGAGTGCATGTTCTCTGCTGCATGACTTTTCCCCTGGATTTAGTGCTATTGCTGCTGGGACAGCTACTCAGCCTCTAACAGAAAAGCACAGTCTACGTATTACCAAGGGAAAGCTTAATTCTGTCTATGACAAAAACATAACTGAGTTCAGCACGATTTACCCTAAAGCTCTGCTCTGTGTGTGTGTGTCACAAGTCATGTTTGAATAACACCAGATTCTGCTTAATAATAGCCAGAGGAGCTGCCCTCCTCACCTACAAGGGTTTGTGCCTCTTCTTGCAAACAGGAATACTGGGATATAGCGAGATCTGGGGAAGGAGGAGGAGAGATGCTAGTGAGCAACAGTAGAAAAATGTCAAAAAAAAAGCCATGTAATTGGTTCACATGCCAGGAAAGAATACTTTACAGCTACCCTTTACCATTACTGTTAAATGCTGACTGCTGGCCTCTGCCTGGAACAAAACTGCAGGACCCTAGATCTGACCTGCTGTGGCTGTTCCTGTTTTGCACTGGTGGGCACAACCTGGCTTCTGGAGGTTTTTCCCAGGGCTGCTCTGCACAGGGCTTTTGCTTGGTCGTGTTCTCTGCCATGGAAGAACAAAGGCTGATGCTATAAAACCCAAAGGGTTCAAGGTGCAGGCTGTGAAGCAAATAAGAGATATCTCTTCCTGTGGATTAAAATTACTTTATGTGGACCATAAATATTTCCAAACATACGTCTACAGCATGAATCAATACTCGGGAGCCTGAAGGGGAAATAGGCTTTTCTCCTTGGTCTGTATCCAGCTGGCATCTCTTTTGAAGATGGCTGTAATGCCTGCAGAGTGGCTTTGTTGCGGGCCAGTACTACTACGGGCAACAGCTTTTGAAATGGGAAGGAAGAAAGAGGTACTCGCTATTGTACATCAGTCCCACCCCTCGGGGTCTCTGTATTCTGAGACATTTTTTAGTAGACTTGAATTTGACTCATTTTCTTATCTTTTCTGTCAATTTCACTTGTAAAGTATAAGACACCACTGTAGCCTTCACAAACATCAATCAATTTAATAGATGACAACCATAAATAGCACAATTAATACATTTCAGCACCAGAAAATCTTCTGAAAAGAGATTTATATAGACAGCATAATGAGCATATATAATTAATATGAATGGTTTAAACTATGTGCCATTATATGTCTTGGAATACATTTAATATGTAGCACATGTATGGATTATAATACAGAACACGATACAGACGTCTTCACTGTTTGGTGATTTGTTGCATTATTTTTAATTCTTTCCTAGCATGAAACCCACTTATTGGAAAAAAAGAAATAACTAAGGAGGAAGTACAAGAGGCAAAATGGGTAAGCATGTGTCTTTTAGGCTTTTTAAAGTTTTTCCCTAATGATTGACATCTCTTCTTAACTTTTGGCTATGGGTCACACATGTGCCAGGGATGTACTCCCGCACCCACAGTTACAGCTGCTCTGCTGTAGCACGCTGCCAGCCTGACCTGCAGACTGGGACACCCCACGGACTGGAGCTCAGAGGTTTGCAGGTAACCTTTGCCATTTGCTCCCAGATAAACAAAGGAAAAGCTGTAACTCACCAGGTGAATGACAAGCAGAAATTGAAGTCCACACAGCTTAAACATACTGGAATAGGCTTTGGTTTGGGTCCTGCAAAGAAGAGGTGATAGTCACTTTAACACCAAAGAGCTGGCCCAATCTCTTTGTGAATAAAGGCTACAGCTAAGCCTTCTGGAAGCTGTAGAGTTGGAGCAGGTGAGGAGTTTGCTCTGAAGGACCAAGTGCAGCTCTGCCCACAGGAGGTGAGACTGTTGGTGTCCCTGGGCTGGTTGGGAAGGTCATTCCCATCAGGTGTGTCCCCAGTGATGTAGGAGGTGCCACATGCTGTAAGAACCTCCAACAGCAGTCAAAGTTAAAAAGCTATGCAACCTCCCTGCTGCAATGACGCTATGTCACACAAGTCCCATTTTCATTTCTGCTTTGTTGAAGGCAACAGGACGTTCTCATGAAACATTATAACCACAAGAAGATGAAGGTCTTGCAAGGACCACCCTGAAACCTCTATCTTCTGATTACAGAAAGCAGCTGTTCAGTGTGGTTTGCAGAGTCAGAGGAAGCTGGAGGTATCTGCACCCTTAAAACACATTGTTACTGGAAATGAAACTTCCAAGTCCAAGGAGCACTGCCTGCCTCAAATGCCGAAAAACTGCTGAGCATACACTGCCATGACTTGTGTTACATCCTCTTGGAAACTAGATGGGTTCTTCAAAACTGAAATCCTGCTTTCCCACGACTTCTAGATTTTAACAAAAATGACGAAGCCAGCTCTGGAAAGAGGTGAAGCTGGTGTACAGTGCTACCATCTTCAGTGGTGCTCCATGTTACGTGGTTCACACCTACAGGTAACCTTCAGCTACCGCAGCTCTGTGCCATGGAGGATCCCAATGAGAAGATGACACTGTGGAGGCAGTGTAGAGGCACAGCTTCCTCCAGATATCTTCCTGCTTGTGCTTCCCATCATACCTTTCCCCCCCTCCCACCTTTTCCTTCTTCTTGAGGAAATCAACAGCTGATGAAAAAGGGGACCTGTAAGCATAGAAACTGCTGCCTATAGTGTTGTTTTCTCCAGCATTCATTTTAGGATATGACACAGGATTTTATCTTGCAAACCCCATTCTGAGCAGGGTCTTCTAGTGTGTGCAATTACACCCTTTGAAATTACTGGGCTCTCTTCTTGGGCTGGAGCTAGCTGCATGAACATGGGATGAAGATAAAATGGCACTGCTTTGAGACCTGAATTGATCAGGAAAATCAATAAATGTGTCAGGAAACTAGGACTGAAGGTGAACCCGCGGTAGCTGCCTGGCAGTGATGCCTGCTGCACTGTTCCTTCACTGACCCGCCTGGAGCCAGTGGTGCTGGAGCCTAGCACAGGCAGGACATAGGTCAGGAAGACACTTTGAACCTCCTGGGAAGGCACTTTGAACCAAGACCATTGCTGCTCGTTCAGTTAGAGACTTGGTGGAAATTCATTCAGTTCCTCCGTAAGTCCAACAGCCTCTCTGCTCTCATGCTCTGGTCTTTTTTGGATACATTGGCCAGTTTTAGTCACACTTAATAGTAGGGTGGGAACATTAACAATCTAATCTCTTATTAATTTGGGGTAGCAGGTGGGACAAAGGACCCAAAGGCATGTCCTCCCTGAGGGTAAGGCTGCAGTGTGTGCCCAGTAGCTGCCTGCATGGTTTCATCTGCCCCTCTTAGGGAGATATATGCCTCTCAGCCAGCCTGTGGTGGAGGGACACTGGGGAGATAAAAGTACTGTGAGAGTCTGGCAAGAAGTGAGGGAAAAGGCCCTCATTTGTGCATGGGGTGGTCTGGGGATACCATGGTCTGGATTCAGGAAAAAGAGAAGGAGCAAGACTTACTATGGCAAGGAGAAAACTTAAGGAAGGGACACGTCCAGCCTTAGTGTACAGGACAGAAAATGCTGAAAATGCACTCCTTCATGTGCTGCCCAACTGCGCCGTGTCTCAGCCAGGTTTCTGTCCAGATCCGACTACAACACACAAAAGTGGAAATACAGCCATTATGTAGGTTATGGGTTTGCATGGTAAATGCCTTTGCTGTTCCTTTCTCTTATTCAAACATCATTCCCTAATGTTGTGCCACTGTGGAGCCTGTTGCCAGGCCAGGATGAGTGGCTTGATGAGCCCTTGAATGTTAATTTTTGGCTGGAAGCTGTTACCAAGTCTCACAAAGCCTTGCACTGCCAAGGACCAAAGCACCAAAATACATACTGTTCTGTCACTCGGAATAGAGTTTCAGCATATATAAATTCATACAAAAGTTTTCAGTAACAGACAGTTTCAGGGTTAGAATAGGATCAGCTTAACTGAAAGCAGCCTGAGATCTGGCTGAGCGTCAGAGCCATATTTTCCCCTTCATTTCTTAGCTTCATCTCAGCGCTATATCCCTAGTGATCCCTTATGGTTCCCCTGCCTGCACAGAACTCTCTAGGATAACCATCATTTAAATATTCCAGCAACTTTCAATAATAAACATACAAAGAACAAAGAATATTCCTGGAGGCTAAAGATCAGTAACAATCACAAGTATTTGGTTCCACAAAAAAAAAATAAATAAAATAAATACATAAATAAATTAAAAGTTATTTTCTTTAAATGATTTATTTCAGATGTTCAAATTCAGTAAAAAGAACATGGAGGAAATTGATCCAAATCAAATACAAACCAGACTCAGCCTTAGCACATCAGTCATCCATTTTACAAGGACAGCTGAGTTCCTAATGTTGCCTGAAAAGCCTTCAGCAAAGAATTTGTTCAGGTTTTAAAATCTTCCTGTGAAATGACAGTTAGATTATCCCTTACCTGTAACACAAAGAGCTTATTTTGCTCTAAAAATGCTTCTTTCTTTCAGCTGTGGGAATCACCTTTGTGCAGGTTGGACGTGTCTGCCCGTGCTTCTCCACACGGAGGTTTATAGTTCCTCAGACTTGCCCTAGAGATTCAGCAGCTCAAACATTAACAGCATGGAGAATTATTGATTCTTAATGACTAGGTGTGGTATGAAACTGCAGCCGTGTAAGGAAGCAATGTAGCCCTGAGATAGTTTACAGCCTCCAGTATTTCTATGTCCTTTGGTATTTTCCTTCTGAACACATTTTTTTCAGTTGGGCTGTGAGAAATGAATGCACAGGGAATGGGTTGGAGCCACAGAGAGAAAGTTATCCTTTCTGTAGGAGAGGAGGTGGAAAGGAGAAGGTGTGGGCCTCGGGTGGAGATCACGTTTGCTACTTGCCTAGTCACAGGGAAAATTCATGTTGAGAAGACAAGAATTTGGACATAAAGGTGGCTTGTTTTCACAGCAGATCTGTGCATTGGGAGGACCAAGCTGAGTTATGAGAATACTTGGTCAGTCATCGACTCAGAAAGCTCCAATTCTGCCTGAGCTCTGCAAGAAATTTACTTCAGGTAATTTTGGGCAAATGACTCTATTTTCCCTTTTCCAGAAGCTCATTGCATAATGGAGGTAATCATTCCTTTCCCCCATCTGTCGCCTTTTATTTCTGTTTAAGGTTTTCAGCCCTTCAAGGGAACCAGCCCTGCTAGTGTCTGTATTATAGCACTTGTAGTAAGGGAAACAGAAATCAACTGGACTGTAAAGGACTAAGGTAAAATCTATAATAAATGGAATATATTTGGGAAAAAAAAACAAGTTTTTAAAAAAATCATCATCCTTCAAATGCTATGCTTTCTGCCAACTCCCTTCTTAATATCATGCTTATTCAGAAGTTTTTAACAGGGTTATTTTATTCTCTCATGAAATATCACTTTTCATCCAGGTTCTAACTTCTGTTCTCAATTTCCACAGTATGTTAGATTGCTCTTGAAAGCTGTTAAATTATTTGTACAGCACATCAATTTCTGACTTATATACCCAAAGAAAGAAGCGTCTAGAATCTATTACAGCTGGAGGGTGTACAGTTCTGGGAAAGGTGAGCTTTCTGTTTGTCTTTCGGATCACACTTTTCCCTCAAAATCAGTGTTTGTTTCTCCAGGAGAAACCCTGTGCTTTCAGCATGCTTTCAAACACAACTGTTCTCCATTTGCTTATGCACTCAGAATGATTCAGACTTTCTCAAAGCTGTCTGCTAGCAGTGAGTTATCTTTAGAACACAGCTGAAAACCAACAGTTTCCATAAAAGCATTAGAGCTCATTGTTAATGGTTTCAAAGTAAATATAATAAGAGGGTAGGAATTGAGCTTTCTTGGAAACATGTTGACTTTAAACGACTTACATGCAGATCAATTGTGTGCTAGTTGGATATGAAAGAGCGGTACTTTCAGCATGAAGTATAAAATTCAAAACAGCAACAATCCATGCTGCAATTACAAACTCACATAACCAAAATCCTAATGTCATTTTTTTTTAGCCCTCCTTCACATGACAAGTGCAGAATAACTCGTGTTGTGATGTCAGAAGTCAGAGCCACAAAAACAAGTCAGGTATTTTTCTTCAAACGCTTGTATCTCTGCTTGGAAGTCCAATTATTAGGAAGTGCAGAGGGAAATTGAAATATAAATTCAAGGTACAGAATATGCTTAATTGAACTCCTATGTATTTTTTAAGTCAGAGGAAGATGTGAGCCTGCTCACCTCCAGTATCTTTCTCTGGCTGAAATAATTTCCCAGCCACAGCAACGGCTTACAGGTTGTAACCACACAGGGAAAAAAAATCTCCCATGTCAAACGCATTACAAAGTCCAGAAGCACTTAAGGCTTTACAACAGTCATAACATTGTGCCACAGATGAAATCACAAGAAGAAACTCAGCAGTGAGACTGGTGCCTTGAGCCAGCTGTTTCTCTCAGTAAATCTGATGAAAAGAAGGCAAATCTCCAGGTGTTTATTGTGCAAATCATTGCTCAATGAGTCAGTTTTTCCAGAAACAACTCTTCACATATAATTAGTCACATCCTTTTCACTATTCCCATTTATCAGCTTTGTCATTCCTCCTTTTCTCCTCTTTGATTTTTTTCTTTCTGTCTTTTTACTTTTATTCCTTGTTTCAATTCACCCTATGTCTCTCTACATCCCTCTTCCACTCCCACAAAACTAACAGGACCT